GGGGTTGTTAACAAATGTCATAAAACAATATGTGTACTGAGAAACTATTTGTTCTGTAAACCTTCACCTAAAGTACAATAACAAAATTAAAAATGAATTATATTAACACTTTGGAAACTGTTTTTGTGTCAGAACAGAGAGGAAAAATCTGACAAATGGACCTTTCATCAGTTGGAAAGTAAGATGTCAGATTCTTAATCTTTTTAAAACTCATGAAAATTATAAAGAAATCGTATGGCTTAAGATGTTCACAATTATGGCTATTCCAAACTCCTGAGACACGATTTTTAAAAGCTGGTGGTAGTTATTTATGTTTAGTGTATTCTTTCATTGTTCTACTCCTCAAGTAGATGGAGTGCAAAGCCCTAAAAACTTCAGTTACTTTAGACCTCCCTGTGAAACACGTCACTTTTTGTAGACTTGGAGGTGAAAACCATTATTGAAATGTAGAAGCATAATCTCCCTTTGTATTGGTTGTCTATTCCAAGGTAGTGAACATTTTTGAATAATTTATTAGAAATTCACTCTATGCCAAAATCCCTGATGGGAGTCTTTTTGCCAAGATCAGTTACAAAAATTTTATTGAAAGGCTTTTTCTCATATGTAGCTTTAGATTTGGGTAAGAGTTGAGAACACCACAGACATGTTTTTTGAAGTTTTAATGACAAACTGTAAGTGATAAAGATGACATTTTAAAAGAATGATTAAAAGTCTTTTCTTAGAATGTTTTTTATTCTAGCCGATAATTCTCTGAACTGGCCATGGATTGTTTATTTCCTGACACACATTTTCACATAAACAACGCTATAGAACAAAACATTGCATTTGCCCATCATGAGGCTGTGAATCACTTAGCAAATATCTGAAATATCAGGTTAATTTTGAAAAGAAGACAATTGCTTGTTTAAAATAAAACTACATATATATATATTTTTAACAGAAACCAAATTAAGTAAATTGCATCAGTCTTCCTAATACACCGATCAAGATAATGAATGTAATATGCCAAACTCTTGGTTTTGGATGTGTAGGATTTTCTTGGTATTTTTTGCTTTGTCCCTTTATTCTTAGCCTATAAATTTTTCTAAGTTTTGTGATATATGGAATAAAAGAAGAAATTAGCTAAGGTAACATAAGGTTATGATCTGCAATGTTTGAGACAATCAATCATTTTAATATGTGAGAACTTGTAGATGATATGAAACTTGTGTCAGCTATTAAACATATTTTTTAAAATCTCTGTTGATAGGAAGATGAGATTCAAATATTTTCTCCAGTAGAGTTAATAAACTAAGTGGAAAATATCTCATTAATTTCTTGAGCCCCCTTGTGAGGCTAGAAAATGACATTCTCATCTAAAAGCTGGAAGAAACTGAAGAACTAGTGAATATACTGGCACTCAGCTGCAAAGGAAAAAAAAATAGTTCTAACATGTTCTGAGATGTGGTTATGAAACAATATTGTATACATACATACCTACCCCCTTTATTTTTAAGGAATCAATAGCTACTTCTTAAGCATAAGGCTAGTTAAATCCTTGGATCTTGGCCCTATACCTTTTGGCAGAGTAAATTATTGCATCATGGCCTGGCAGTGCAGTCACCCTTTTAGTTTACTTTTAAATAAGCTTTTCTCTAATCCATACAACCTAAAATCTAGCCAATCATGAATCTTCAACAAACTTATTTAAGTCTCTTATTCAAGTCTCTTATTCTATAGATTTTTTTAAGTGTAAAAACTCAGGAAATAATAACTCTGCAAAACACATTGTTCTCACATCTTAAGTTGGGAAGTAAAAAAAGAACAAATTGAACTGATTTGTAGTTTCATGAAAATGTATTTGACATTTCACTTAGAAGTTGCAACCAGCATAGTTTTGAGTTCTTCTAACTTCACTTATTTTACAAAAAGTTGAATGTTCTACTTGAATGGAAATAACCTCAAGTTACGTCCAGCATTGCTGAAGGGTTGATTTTTTTAGGCTAAGGGAATGCCAAAGTTATGTGCCTTGTGTATATTCCTTTCTTAAGCAAATCATTGTTTCTTAATGAGTTTAGAAAATTCAAAAACAAATTGGGGAAATCTAACATCATTTCAGTATTATCAACATGGGGCTTTGTGTAATGACTGTAACATCATGACAGTGAAGTATTCATTTTTAAGCTTTAAATGGAGAAATCTTTACCTCCAGCGTGTCCAATAGGAATACGATATGTAAATTCACCCATATCATCTGTATGCTGATTGGTTTGAGTTCTCCCAAATGTCACAATCTCACCACCCAGCCATGAGGTATTTTACTGCTGTCTAGAGATCAAATTATTACTGTAAAGAAGATCTTTATGTTTTCTGTGTTTCATTAACAGATTATTATAAAGCAATAAGCATGCAGAAAGGAAAGCAGACGCTTTACGTTGGGAATTAATGAATGCATGTCTGCTTGGTTTTTTTTCTTGGCAGGGTGAGGGGAGGAGGGGGAGTTGTTTAAAATCTTATACCACCCTCATAAACAAAACTCTTCAGAATGGAAATGGTGAAATAAGGAAATGCATGATTCAAGAGGCATCCCTAAGCACCCATGTGTTAGGCTATGTGGTGTTCGTGATATCATCGGACCTTTTGGACGGGTGTAAGTTTTATGTATTCGTTATATTCCTAGTATTCTTCAACCGTAGTAACAAAGGGAAAAAAGGAAACTCACACACAAACACTTGCTTTAACATCACCCACCCATTGGTCAGCTGTACTTGTACGAAGGAAAAAGGCCGTTTCTTGGCGGTGTGGATGTGAGAAATAGTCATTTAAATTTTTTTGTAATCCTGATTCTTTAGTCATTTTTGTTAAGGTAGAAGGCACGTAGATCATTGTGCAGGTGAACTTCGCTTCTCCCTAGTTAAATGCATATTTGCGTGCATTCGAGAAGAGCTGACTAACAAAGACAGGGCTGTCCTAACATGCTTCCTTCTTCTCTGTTGACAAGAGTTTTCTTGACTGTGCTTTTTTTTAAATTTCTTTCTTTCTTCCCCCCTCTACCACGTCCCCCCTCCCCCACCCCGCTAACCTGCATATTCAAAGGTCAGCTGGGGAAATAATTTAAGAAGAAACCTAAAAGAAGCTTCCAATGCTTTGGACCACCCTAAAAGAGAAGGGAAGAAAATGCTCGGGGAAGGCAAGGATTCCGGGAAGCAGGAGAGGGGGCGGGCGCCACCGACACGGTGGCTTCTTGGTGCGCTGCCCTAGGGGAAGAGGATGGGCCTGAGGTCCTGAACCAGCTTCTCTGAGCCCCCACTTCAAATGTGGGGAGGGAAAAGTTTAGAAGCAGCCACGAGGGGACAAAAGCCTAATTTTGCCAGTTGAGTTGGACAGGACATCTCATCAACTCAGCCAGCTCTGGGAACGGCCAGGGGCTCCCGTTGGCTCCATAGAGGCTGGAGCAGCCCCTGCCGCCGCCCTCGCCACCGCCGCCGCCGCCGCGGCCCCTGCGTTACTGGGGGAGACGGTGCCGCTGCGACAGGGGAGGACGCGGCTGGAGCTCAAGGAGGCTCCAGCGCGCAGGCGCCGCCGAGCCCTGCCTGGATGCTCAGTCAAGGCACTAAAGCAAAAAAAAAAATCAGCAATTTATAGAAAGAAGAAGCTATAGTCTGTCGGGATATCCAACGCCAACAGGTAGGAGGATATACTCTCGGTTAAGTTTGGGGTTGGGGTGGGTACTGGCAGTGTTGATGAAACTGCAGGTTCACCGGGAAAGAGCCCTCTCTGAGGTTTTTTGACAATAAACTGCATAATGGAAGTACATTCAGACAATGCATCTTCAGTAGGGCTTACTGAGAGCTCCATTTCTGGAGAGCCTTGCAAGACTGAGGAATATCAGACTGCGAATCACCGGCAACCGTTCCCTTGCAGCACAGAAGCAATCTCTCTCCCCATCTTCGCGTATGTAATGCATGTCTCTCTCCCCCTCCCCCTCCTCCACCCCCACCCCCCCCCCATGATAAATCCAGGGGTGGCGGATTTCAGGTTTCGTAATGTTGTATGATGCGATCGGTATTTACCCTGGGATGTACCTGTGGGGAAATTAAAACCATTGAACGCAGCTTTGCCTGGGCTTTCATCAGCATATTCCGGGCAAGTGAGAAGTGGCAAAGGAAACATGCTTCGTGGGAATAACAGAGGAAGCCGAATCCCTTGGTGTGGCTCCCAGGAACCCAGGAGACAATGTGCATTTTGTTTTAAAATGAAGCCACTTGCAATTTGCAACAAAGATCATCAGTGTGAATGGGAAAGGTTTAATTGCCCGAGAAATACAGGTTCATGTTATATTCATTTGAATCCAGGCAGCCAAGGTTTACAAATGGAAGTGCATTATCCCTCGGGGTGTTTTTCCCTGGCCAATATTTACATTAACCATTTTTAATAATCATATGGGCTTAAAAGAGAAAAGATTTGCCAAAAGAGAGGGGTGGGGTGGGGAGGGAGAGACAAAAGACTAAAACACAGCAAATCTTGGGACAAGTTCCCATTAATTTCCAAGTCTAATGTTGAAATTGTTTTAAGATGAATCAACAAATACTCTTCTGTTTTTATAATATGCAGAATGAATAGTGGGACTTGAGTTAAAAGGCATATATTTTACAGGAGTTCTTTGGATCCATATCAGCAGAGAAGCTGCTCCTAAAACACTGAGAGATACTAACAGACTTCAAATAAATGTAGGTAATCTCCTCTCTGTCCCCTATTAGCAGCCTTGTAGATTCCATTGCAACACTAGTGATTAATTTCTGAACTGGCATATCATACAATTATGGAACATTTTATTGTTTCTGCCCTAAAGTTACCCAATCAAATGTACATTTTCTAAAACAGAGACATTTTTGAATTCACCTAGCTCAGAAAACTAAACAAACCACTTCTCTGAAATCTCAAGCAAAAATACTTACTAAAGCAAATAACAGTATTCCAAATTAAAACTTTGCTTCCCCATAAATGAACAGCTTTATGTTAGCACTGTCTGACATCATGACTTGTTAACTTAAGAACTGATAGCTCAATTTTTTTTCCTTCAGATGTTCTGATGGCAAATCAAATGGAAGAAAAGAGGAAGCATGACTGCAGACCAGATCAGTTCTCTTTGTGGATTACATTTTCAGTAAAATGTACGGATATATCTTTTCCTTGTTCTTATATTTAGATCATGAGACTTGACTGAGGCTGTATCCTTATCCTCCATCCATCTATGGCGAACTATAGCCATGCAGCTGACAACATTTTGCAAAATCTCTCTCCTCTAACAGCTTTTCTGAAACTGACTTCCCTGGGTTTCATAATAGGAGTCAGCGTGGTGGGCAACCTTCTGATCTCCATTTTGCTAGTCAAAGATAAGACCTTGCATAAAGCACCTTACTACTTCCTGTTGGATCTTTGCTGCTCAGATATCCTCAGATCTGCAATTTGTTTCCCATTTGTATTCAACTCTGTCAAAAATGGCTCTACCTGGACTTATGGGACTCTGACTTGCAAAGTGATTGCCTTTCTGGGGGTTTTGTCCTGTTTCCACACTGCTTTCATGCTGTTCTGCATCAGTGTCACCAGATACTTAGCTATCGCTCACCACCGCTTCTATACAAAGAGGCTGACCTTTTGGACGTGTCTGGCTGTGATCTGCATGGTGTGGACTCTGTCTGTGGCCATGGCGTTCCCCCCAGTTTTAGATGTGGGCACTTATTCATTCATTAGGGAGGAAGATCAATGCACCTTCCAACACCGCTCCTTCAGGGCTAATGATTCCTTAGGATTTATGCTGCTGCTTGCTCTCATCCTCCTAGCCACACAGCTTGTCTACCTCAAGCTGATATTTTTTGTCCATGACCGAAGGAAAATGAAGCCAGTCCAGTTTGTAGCAGCAGTCAGCCAGAACTGGACTTTTCATGGTCCTGGAGCCAGTGGCCAGGCAGCTGCCAATTGGCTAGCAGGATTTGGAAGGGGTCCCACACCACCCACCTTGCTGGGCATCAGGCAAAATGCAAACACCACGGGCAGAAGAAGGCTTTTGGTCTTAGACGAGTTCAAAATGGAAAAAAGAATCAGCAGAATGTTCTATATAATGACTTTTCTCTTCCTCACCTTGTGGGGCCCCTACCTGGTGGCCTGTTATTGGAGAGTTTTTGCAAGAGGGCCTGTAGTACCAGGGGGATTTCTAACAGCCGCTGTCTGGATGAGTTTTGCCCAAGCAGGAATCAATCCTTTTGTCTGCATTTTCTCCAACAGGGAGCTGAGGCGCTGTTTCAGCACAACCCTTCTTTACTGCAGAAAATCCAGGTTACCAAGGGAACCTTACTGTGTTATATGAGGGAGCATCTGTGCATCTTTAGCCTTGTGAAACACTAACCTTCTCTGCTAAGCAATTGTGGCCTGTAGCCATATCTTGAGAAGAAAATCAAGAATGGGATCAGCGGTTATAAGGATTTGGGCAACATTCTGCAGTCTTTGCAATAGTTCACCTATAATCCTATTTTAAATCTCAAAGTGATCCTGCTGACTGCTGGCGAAGGTTTGTAATTAAGAAAGAACTAAACCACTGCCCTAAGTTTCTTTATGTGGTTGAAAACTAGTTAATGAAAGTAGCAGGTGCTAAGTATCAGTGCTAAATGCTGTGTATATCACTACATATGATAAAAACATCAAACCCAATTAGCATTGGACATCTTAATAAATTAAGTTGATATGAGGTAAATGTGTTGATAAAAACTAATTTTAGAAGTTTGAAGACTTTAAAACATTTCATACTATTGTTTTGCAAAGACTAAAATATTTGGGGACTTAAAGTACTGTAACCACTAAAGACGTGCCATGAATTATTGGATTATCACACTAAAAAAAAAAATCACCTTGTAAGTTTTGAGGAGCATTCCAAAAGCAGTATATTGGTTCCAATTAGAGTTTACCTTTTTTCTTTTTTTTTTTGTATTCCTACATTACTATTACTATTTCTAAATACCACTTTCCTTACCTACTAGTGAAATTGCTAGCACTGAACTGTATTACGTGATTTTTGTTGATTTGGTATAAAGTTTTTCCAGTTCATTTATATTTTTCGAATGCTAGATATTGATCTGGGAGGCAACATTAATGGTACCAACTGGTCATAACTGAGCAGCCCTAATAATGCAGAATAAACACATGTTGCCTTAAAGGGTTATCTAGTATCTTTCATCTTATTTAGCACTGGAGCAAATAGTCAAGAGAAACTGAATCAGTAACTGGTTATGGTCAAGCATCTGGAAGTGCATGGAAGATCATTTAGTACTCTTTTTCCTTTTTCCTCATATGGTTTGAAAAATTAAGGTACACATCACTGGGATAATGAAATTTTCTTGCGAGGTGTGCTACCCATTCTAGTGTGTTCTAAGAAGCAGGCAGTTGATAAATGTTTCTATTTTAAGTCAGCTGTCAAGGGGAGACCACAGCCTTAGTATGACATCCTGCACAATTTGTGAAGCATTTATTCTACTGAAGGCACAGTCTTGTTTATACTTTCTGCACATTCAGTGTATTGGTCGTTGAAATTATTTCAGTTTTAACTTGTGAAAGCTTATAATATGATTTCTGGTATTTTAGAAATACATTAGAGTCTGTGAGTCTCATTCTTTAAGATACAGATGTGTGAATTTCAATATAAAGTTGCATTTGCCAAAATTTACCCGTGTAGCCTGTTAATTTTCTTGGAATAAAATTTTACATTTTTGGCATTTAACTTTTTTTTTTTTTTGCCTGGGGAGCAAACACAAACTAGGAAGACTAGCTTTATTATAGTTTTGTGTTTTTTTTTTATTTTTTATTTTTGTAGCTGCTATACTCTGGAACTAGAACTGTATGGATGATAGGGAGCTTAAAGTTGATAAATTGATAAATGATAGTATCTACAAAAGCATTATTTGGTAGCTTATCATAATCATCCCTCTGTTTATTCTTAGATACTAATTATATTTAGAGATGTATGCCTGCTTAGCTGGTTCATTCAGAATTTTAATATAAACATACATTTTAATTTGGGGGTATAGTAGAAATTTTTGGTTCTAAATATATAATTTGTAAGAAGATGGTTTAAAATAATATTATAACAATCCAGAAAAGTTGTTATTGTTTTTGTTTTCTGTTGGTTTTTTTGTTGTTGTTGTTTGGGTTGGTTTATGTACTTGGAAAATAAGATTAGGAATGTAATAGAACAGAATTCTGCCTTGCTATAGTACTTCTCTAAGGAGAAAATCAATATAAATTTTAATAAGGGGAAATAAATCACTGAAATGTTTCAATGGTATATGCAACTATGCAGTTTTGCTCCTAAAAGGACAGCACAAGCCATGATTTAGTGAGCACTGTTTGACCTCATTTTTACTGTAAACCAAAGTTGATTGGATCTAAGACAAAGCTTAATGCACAACAGTGAGCTGAATTTAGTAATAAAGGCCCCTTGTTGGTACTAAAATTATTTTCTGAAGAAGTACAATAAAGGAAATGTTATCAAAAGACGTTTTGATAACATTATGCTTCTAGCTCACAAAAATCACAGTATAGACATAATTAAAATGATTATATTTATGGAGAACCTTACTTAGAGGTTCAAATATCATCAGCATTCAGTAGAAAATTCAGCAATAATCTCAAGGCCAGAGCGACCAGGTTTTGCCAACACTAGCTTTCATTGCACAGACAAGAAAAATGAAGCATGGATTAAGTATGAATTAAGGGAGCTGAAGAGTCAAGAGCAAGAGCCAAATGAAACTGCCTGGTTACAACTATCTATGTGGAATAGGGAATTACAAAAATTTTGGTGATTGATGATCACCAGTGATTAGTGAGTAGTACTTAACTATGCACCACCACCACCCATTGCCATCAAGCCAATTCTGACTCATAGCAACCCTATAGGTCAGAGTAGAACTGCCCTATAGGGTTTCCAAGGAGTGGCTGGTGGATTTGAACCATTGACCTTTTGGTTAGGAGCCATAGCTCTTAACCACTGTGCCACCAGGGCTCCATGTTTAACTATAGTAGCTTTTATCTAAGCCTACCCCTAACTAAATTGGTATTTGTAAGACAAGGGGCAAACAGTGGCAAGATTCCTCCTCAGTTAATCAATGTCATTAGAAAGTCCATGCTTAATAATAGTATCATACAAAATAAAATATTCTTTTAGTGTCTTCATGACCAAATCACATTATTTATTTTGGCACTCATTCCAATATTTACAATGGTTGGTAAATAATTCAACTTGAAAATGTTACTAATTTTTAACCCATAAAAATATAGCCCACTGGGAAGTCCAACTTCCCTGTGAGAAAGACTCATTATCAATAATAATGTGCCCTTCTTAGTATAAATACACATCTAAGCTGAATGCTCTTTGTTTTCCTTAATAGTGGTGATATGTTTGCATGAATATATTATCTTGTCCAGTTCCTTCTGTACACAGTGGGTTTATTTGTGAGATGCCCAGCTGGATTTAGAAATGTAGTCTGACTGTGGAATCCTATGCAGATATTAACTGAGGCAGAAGGTGAATAACTGGCCCAATTCCCCACAGCGATTCCATTTAAATAACACAAAATGAACCACAGTGATTAGATGGTAAAATTATTTGTAGATGGGTCAGCCTACAGACTGAATTATCTTCTTTGGATAGTAATCAAAAAGAAAACCAAACCCATTGCCGTTGAGTTGACTCCGACTCATAGCGACCCTATAGGACAGAGCAGAACTGCCTGATAGAGTTTCCAAAGAGCAGCAGTGGATTCAAACCGCCAACCTTTTGGTTAGCAGCTCAGCTGTTAACCACCGTGCCACCAGGGCTCCTCTTTGGATATTAGCTGGTTAAATTTCAACACCAGCACTTTCCGTTGAAGTTAACTGATTTGTCATTGCTAAAGCCACTTATCCATTGGCCTCTCTTTCTCTGACTGCTACCGAATAGTTTATTTACTTATTCATTCATTCAACAAAAATGTGTTAGGCACTGGGCTTGGTGCTGGGAGCACAGTGACAAGCAGGGCAGACCAGTCTTTCGTGGAGATTTCTTAGTCTAGTGGAAAAGACAGGCAATTAAATATGTAATAGTAATAAGTTATGAGTGTTAAGATAGTAAATATTTGTAAGATGGACTTAGTATTAATGGCCATAAGTCTACTGTTCTCCATTCTCCCTTTGGTGCCTTATCTCCCATCTTTTTCCAGTGTTCCTTGGGATCTCTTATATATCAAATCTCTCTCCACTCAGAGGAAAACCCCAGTCTACTCAAAGCAGCAAGAACATTTTACCCACACTTCACTTAGATGAATCACCATGTTATGGTTTGGAACCCTGCATTCCCATGTGGTTAATGCTGTGTACAAAATAACAGCAAAACCTGAGTGCCAAAATTCCTCCCATGTTCTGACTGTCAACTTCCATAAGAGAGATTTCAGTTCCTTCAAGAGACATGGAGGTTCGTTTTTTCTTCCACACTCATACCTTCCACCAAGTTAGCATGAGAATGCCTAAGTGAAGTGTAATCAAGGCAAGATTTTCTATGTATACTTTACTGATGACTCCCAGGAGACCTCCTATGGTGTGACAGACTTGGGGCCCAAGTAAAAGTGGGACTAACTTCTGAAAGGGGTAGATACCTTTTATTATGGAAGCATTACACCTCTTCGCCGTTTTTATTCTTCCTTGTTAGGCGCACAACAACTCTCTGATCCCCTACCAGTTGAAAACCTTGTTTGGCCTCCAAAATTGAGTTCTATTGCAAATACAATGAAACATATTTATAATTATATAGACATATGCCTTTTCAGCTAAGCCATGTAATAACCAGTTGTGCTACAACGGGGATTACTGTAGAACAGTTGCAAACTGAACTAAAACTCCATTTCTGGGTATTCACCATTAGATACATTTACTTTGTTTCATCCTTTACTTTATTCCACATGTAGCACAGACTGTATTGTTATCAAAACAAAAAGCAGCTTACATTAATTCCATGTTAAAAAGAAAAGAAACAAAGTAACATGATAAATGGTGACGTTTCAAATACTAGCTAAATACATTGATCAAGGTAGATGGTTACTAGAATTGTGGGTTATTTATGATTCCAAAGTCTTGTAATTTTTCTATGCAAAAATACTTTACATTCATGTTTGTTAATATTCTCTTATAAATGTTTTGAATGGAAATTGCAGGATCTACTCAGATGATTGTTTATTGCTGAAATTTTTGTTGTTCTCAACGGTGGGCATGTTCGTGTTCTGTGACTTTCCCAGTTCCCTCAGAAAAAACTTTTTACACCACATTAAAATTATACAACTGCTCAATTTTGATGAACAAGTTCATAATTAGTCTACATAGTGGTTAAAATGAAGATGGCATTTGTAATTGTATTATTTTTGACTATCAGTCAAAACAGTCAAATAAGTTAAAGGCCTTTTGAAAACTGTAACAATGTAGGAAAGATTTTTTGGAGAGGTAACTCTTTTGCAATGTAAAAAGCTCTTAAAAATATATTAAAATCAAAAGCTTTTAACTTTATAAAAGGATTATGTATGTAAGACCAGGTTTTTAAAATGGGAAGGAGCTTTTACATCATCTCCTTTTGCCAAAGGGAGTATGTTCATTAGCAGCTCAACCCTTTTGGGTAAAAAGGCTTTTAAAGCCAGTTTTCCTCCCACCAGATCAGCAGTATAAACACAGGGGCTATAGCCCTAAAAGGCTCTCAGAGGCTCTCAGAGAAAAACAAAGAGAATGTGTTTCCTTTTGAGTGGTTATAAAGAAACTCCTCAAAGAAGCCATGGGTAGTTTGGTGTTTGGAGTTATTCACACCTGGTATTCACATCTAACCCCCAGCTGCCTATGGTGGACAGGACAACATTATCCTGAGAAACACACAGCCTTCCAAGCTGGACTTGGAAGCAGAAAGCAGTTATTTTCTGTGTTTTGATAATAACACTTTTCAGACAAATATGCAAATTGAGTAATTATAATGCATGTTCTTGTGCATTGGGAGTTTTGAATAGACAACAAAATGTCACTTATGTGGGTATTCGAGATCATGAGAGGAGGAAGTAAGTCATTCATTATACCGCATGGAAAAGTCCTTATAACATTAAAAAATCAAAAGGCTGAATTGATAACTGAGCTTGAACTGAAAAAAAAAAAAAAAAGCAAATCCGTTGCCATCGAGTAGACTGCCCCATAGGGTTTCCAAAGAGTGGCTGGTGGACTCAAACTGCCAACTTTTGCTTACTAGCTGAGCTCTTAACCACTGCCTTTAAGAAAGAAAAACATTACTAACTAGGTAAAGAAAGAAAGAAAAGATTTTGTTCTTTCTCATCCATTAAAAAAAAAAAAAGTTTAAATTGAAAGGTCATTTTCTCCTTTGAGAAAAGGAATCTTTGATAATCTTTTGGTAAGCATTTTTACTTAGAGATAATTCAATCCAACAATCATTTATTACGTGCCTACTACATGTGTGATCCTGGGCGAGTTACTTAACCTTTCTGCTTCATCAGTAAAAAGGGGGTAGTACATGTGTCCTTGGGTGGTGCAAACAGTTAAGCACTCGACTACTAACCAAAAGGTGGGCAGTTCAAACTGACCCAGAGGTGCCTCAGAAGACAGGCCTGGCGATCTGCTTCCAGAAGGTCACAGCCTTCAAAACCCTGTGGAACAGTTCTATTCTGCATACATGGGGTCACCCATGAATCAGAATCCACTCGACAGCAACTAACAACAACATATATGCTAGGGTTATTGGGAGGAGACAATGAGTGCATCCTTTTGATGCCCTTAGAAGACAGCCTAGCAACTTAAATAGTTTCACTTATTACTATGTGTAAGAAGCTGGCTCTCTCATAGTTCACCATTTAGCAGCAGAGACAGGGACGAATTATTCAACAGGCAAAGTAAGCATGGTGCTTACCTTGGTTACCAGATCATCTGTAGTGAACAATTCCACATTTTTTTCACCACATCCAAGATTCTGCCTCTAAGTATGACTGGCACCTGTCTCTCTCCCAACCCCACAGCACCTTCCTACAAAATCAAAGCCTCTTTTCAAATTTATAGTCCCTGACGGGGGTGGATGACCCAGTAAGCAAGGTAAGCATGGGCTTACTTGTTCTTACTTACTAACCTGTAGGAACAATTTCACATGGGTTTCACCAAATCAAAGATTTTTTGTGAAACTGTTCACTACAGATGATCTGGTAAGCAAGGTAAGCACCATGCTTACTTTGCCTATTGGATAATCCACCCCTGAGCTGAGACATAAATTATGAGACAATGTGATAAATGCTGTAATGGAGATATGTGAGATAAGTGTTAAAGGAACACAGACAAGCAATTAACACTGTGAAAGTGATGGAAGGAAGGTGAGATAGGAAAGGTGGCAATTGAACTAAGTCTTGAAGGATAATTTTAATTTCTTCTGCTTGACAATGTTATGAAAGCCGTTTCAGAAGGAGGTAATAAGAAGAGCAAAAGACAAAAGACTGGGAAGTTTGCTATGTATTCAACATAGTGACACACTAATCCGAGAAGTTTAATGTGAGGTAGCTGGAGCTTAGGTCACTGGATGGGGAGAGCTAGCATAGCATAATGGTTAAAAAGTGGAGGATTTAAAGGTTTAAGTCCTTATTCTGTCCTTTACTAGCTCAGGTTAGTTAAATTCTTTGAATCTCAGTTTCCCTACCTATAAGTTGGAGAATAAGTAGTAGCAACTACAACTTGTAACGATTTGCTTTGAAGATTAAGATAATAATAATAACTATTATTTATTAAGTACTTACTATGTGCCAAGCACTGTTCTAAACATTTTTCCTATACTAACTCAACTAATCATCACAATAGGTAGATACCATTATTATTCCATTTTACAGATGAGGA